CCGGTGCAGCATTTTGATCGCACCGGACCGCACTGCAGGCACAATGTGCCTTGCGATCCCTGCGGGTGATCACATTGCGGCCGGAGGGCGTGGATACGGTGCCATTCACTTCAATGGCCCGCCACGCCCCCTCCAGCCCGGCAAAAAGTGAGCCAGTGCGTTCTATCCAGAATCGGACCGGAACGCACTGCTTATGGTGTGAACTAAGGGTAATTCATCCCAAAGGTGTGCTATGCGGTTGAGATCAGGACTCCGTGCAGGCCAGTCAAGTTCCTCCACCCCAAACTCGCTCATCCATGTCTTTATGGACCTTGCTTTGTGCACTGGTGCGCAGTCATTTTGGAACAGGAAGGGGCCATCCCCAAACTGTTCCCACAAAGTTGGGAGCATGAAATTGTCCAAAATGTCTTGGTATGCTGATGCTTTAAGAGTTCCCTTCACTTGAACTAAGGGGCCAAGCCCAACCCCTGAAAAACAACCCCACACCATAGTCCTCCCTTCACCAAACTTTACAATTGGCACAATGCAGTCCGGCAAGTACCGTCCTCCTGGCAACCACCAAACCCAGACACGTCCATCAGATTGCCAGACAGAGAAGCGTGATTCGTCACTCCAGAGAACACGTCTACACTTTGAGTCCCGTGGCGGTGTGCTTTACACCACTGCATCCAAAACTTTGCATTGCACTTGGTGATGTAAGGCTTGGATGCAGCTGCTCAGTCAAAAGTAGACAACTCAAGGAATTTACTAAGTGACATGGTGAATATTTTAACATTTTAATTATTTGGAAACGAGAAAAGTAAATACTTTTTTTTCCACAAAGTTGTTAATTTAAGATACTCCTCACACTTAGCTTGGGCATACTTAGAATTACACACATTCTGCTACTTCTTCTGAATATGAGGATATTAAATACAAAATAATTTTTTGCCGCCTAGCTGCATAGAGAAATCCAAAGAACACCTTCAGGCAGTAGAGACACCCACAAAAGGGCTGGCATTGGTAATAATCTGGCAATGGTTCCGTTACCGGTACTGGCTGTACTGGATGCAATTGTTGCAGGTTGTACAGGAAATGGTTCTGGCTGACACTGATACTGGATGACAGTATCTGGCCGTTTTCTATTTTCCCTCACACACCAATTGGTGTGTGAGGGAAAGGGAGAATCAGATAACCGCAGCCATTGTTTACATTCTGTGATGTTGTGATTGGTTGCAGCAATGACATGGTACATTGGATAATGAAAGTGGCGCTGTGTTTTTTTTGTGATCTGCACTGTCCAAATTGCACTTAAGAACAGAAACCTGCGCTGAGAGCTCCATCTGGCCTTTTGATTAAAATTGCCAGACAGAGGAAGGTTAATCGGATATACAGTAATAGATCTAGGTGGATTGTTTCACCCTTGTACACTTGACTGTTAGCATATGCTTAAAAATGTGCTCTGTCTGGCATGAATCAATAAAATAACACAGAAAACTGATGAGAAATATAATGGGATATTAGAAGCATCTTGGATAATATTCCATTTTAAAGCACTAATTATAGACATATATTGATATGGAGGTTTTCCAAAAGCAATGTTGAAAACAGATTTGGAATGTTTTTTTTTTTTCTCATCTGAATTTTTATTATGCAGAAGATAAATTATAGCAATAACAAACCATACATTACATATGTATGCATGAACAATGTAAAACACAGCAGTACGGAGTTGCTCGCGACTTATTGACAGGAAGGAAGGTACTTGTTATAAAGTACTAAGAAGGTACATCGTGTGAGCAAAAAGTTGGTCACTCTGGACACGTCCGGGAGACAAATTTGGAATGTTTTTAATAAGTGTGTAATGCTTATCTGATGTCTGTATTAAATATTTAATTTTTGCTTATTGGTTTATTGTTGTAGAATTCATATTTCCTGACAGACATATCATAACTGAGGAAACTTTGGGAGTGTATACTCAATTATTGGAGTCTGTTGTCTGTCAGGTAATTACAATATTGTTGGAATGAAAATGCTTCAAAACTTTCCCCTTGGTTTTTGAAAGCACTTAATGTATGCCCAGCAGCAGGCAGCTATTTTAATGAAGTTAAAGCGGACCTTTCCACTCAAAAATCAAATTCTACCAATGCATACCTCTAGGTATGATAATTAATAACAGACATGTTAGGTGTAAAATGCTGTGATTTTGAAATACTTACAGTTGCAGAGCATTTACTTCCTGCTTTGAAAGGGCAAAATTACTTCAGTTTGCCAAAGCAATGCACACTGGGATTTATTTTGTCATCAGCAGAGCATTGCTGGGAAATATCTTCTGTAATCTCATGAGATCTCAGGGAAATGCATTTTCCTCCTGAGATGATGTGCATGGTCACATGTCCTAGTCATTATGGATGGGCTGTATGTTCGAGTCGAGCTAGTTTGAGCGTTCGCCGAAAGCAAGAACTTTGTGGGATGTTCGCTTTCTGTTCAATCGGGGCAACATCACACAAAGCATTGCACCTTCTGAAGCTCTAATTGGTAAAGGCTTGCACCTGACCTCAGGTCAGGTGCAAGACATTGCCCAATCATGGCTCAGTACTGCTTACACCGCAGCCCTACGTAGTGTGTTGCAGGAGTGAAAAGAGAGAGAATCTATAACAGAGTTGGGCATCAGAGTTCTCTATAGCACAGTTCTCTACATCGTACAGATCCGCCACTTCACAGGCAGTTTATGGGAACCCCCCAGGCACGATATTTGGAGGAATTTTTCATTTTTATTCTTACCTTTTAAGTGATGTAAAATTCACTGCTCCTTTAACCACTTGAAGTCTGCGGTGTTAAACCCCCTTCCTATCCAGGCCATTTTTCAGTATTCAGCGCTGCGGTACTTTGACTGACATTTATTCCGTCATGCAACACTGTACTGAAAAGCGCGAAACCTCAAAAAACCGACATTACACAAAATTGGCCATAGGCGACGCTTTAAAAGCTTTTACGGTTCATCAGTTTTAGTGTAATCAGTGATTGATATCCCTAAAATTATTGCTCTCTCTCCGACGTTCGCGTCGATATGCAACGTGTGTAGCGCAATTGTCGTTTTTGCGCGCTGGCGCATATTTACGTTTATATGTGCATAAACGTGAATGCTGAACTCCCTCCCATCTTACCTCCTGACGCCCACCCGTGCCACTCCAGGCGGCGGCACTCGACAGATCGGAGGGGGGAAAATCGCAACATACAACCGATCGGCAGGCTATAGAGCCACTGATCGGTTGTATGGGAAACAGCCGGTAACGGCTGTAAAGAACGGGTGATTTTTTTTCACCCCCTAGCGTGCGCATCTGGAGACGGCAACCCGCAAATGAGAGTCTGCCGTCCGTCCGTTTTTTCACAACGGGCGGACGGCAAGCGGTTAAAAACTTTTTTTGTATGTGTGTTTTTTTCCCATTGATTCCTGTCCTCTAACCTGTCCTGTAACTTGCATATAAGCACTCTTAAAGGGGACAATCGTTTCTGAAAGGTCTACCCCCATTGACTTGCATTGAGTTAGAATTCGAACTTTTCAGACGTTCGAATACGAACCGAACTCAGGCCATCACTACTGTCTAATCACATGTGCCAGAAATCCAGGAAGTAAAAGGTGAGCTAGTAATCTGCCCTTATAAACATGACCACTGTCTGGGGAAGAAAAGAGAAATAAGGTATGCAAAGAATTCAAAGCCTGCAATTATCTAGGATTATGTGTTTGTAGATTGTCATTACTAAACATTTCTAAAGGTGTGTTTGTTGTTATTTTAAAAATATGGGTAAAGGTCCACTTTAACCTTTTGCCCTTTTGCTGCCAAGCCCTCCGAAACAATTTTGTAGGGGAGGGGGCAGAGTTTCCCTGTTTGCTGGAGTGGAACCCAATAGCAGGGAGCAATACCAGAAGCAGAGTCCAGGCTAAAGTACAAAATGGGAGAATCCAAGAATGCATCATCAGAGTATAGTCCAGGTCAAGGCAGGCAGCAAGTATCATAAACAGGAAGTCAAGCCAGGGGTCGATACCCAGGAGATCCAAATCATGGGAAAGGAAAGGCAGGAAACAAGGAAACAGGAGATAACGCTTTGTAGCTGCTTTGGGTGTGGCAGAATAACTCAGCAACAAGTCTTGGCTCTGACTGGAATTTATACGCAGCAGGGACCAGACGCCTGCATTGTTAAGGCAACGAGGGAGGTACAGACCCCTGGGAGCCAATGGAATGGCGAGAAGGAGGTGTTCATGCAAGGCCCTCCCCGTTGATGATCAGCACCTGAGGTGACTAATAGGCCACGGCAACATCATGTGGGCGCGCACATCATACACTCACACATGTGCGTGTGTGCACCCGCAACCAGCCGCCGCTGGGCATCTAATCACCCCAGGAAGGACCCTACAATCCCAGCTGTGCCTGTGGGCACCCAGGTAAGAGGGCACCCCTGGTCCCACGACAAATATAAGTTTATGGTCGCTAAAGTGACCATGAGCTTAAGCTTATAGCACAAGGGTAAAAGCTACCGACGTATGACATACTGACATGGCCAGCTGCAAGCAGTTGTGTTCTGCCTTATGCCATATGTCGGTGGCAGCAAAAGGGTTAAGGTAGGCTCAGACAAAATGTTAGCACAAAATGTAAATGTAATAGAAGAGTTTATTTTTTCAAAACAATCCTTTGTCTTAAAGTTTATTGCGTTGAATTATAAAGTATTCACCCAGTGTACAGCTCCGCAAATGATGATGCTTGTGACGTGTGGGAATGTGACCTTTTTCTGCAGTGCATACAGTGAGTACACTTAAGTTCCATTTAACAACACCTCATTCACTGTTCAACGCAATGTATCGAAATGCACAGTTCATCTAGGCACAGATATCACTGCAGCTTTTCGCTATTCAGTGCACTCAAGGGTGTCCCAGGTCTTTTACAATCTTAGCAAGGCCTCTGATGAAAATAATGATCAAATAATCATGTCTGTGGAAAGTTGAACACCAAAAAATACAATACCTTATTTAAACTTCGTGCTGCACTGTCTTTTCCACCTGGAGTTAAGTTTCTTAGCTGAACATCCAGTAGATCCACAAGCTGATCCATAGCACGAACAGAATATGTGATGTCTCCAGCATTCAGGTGGCCTCTTGTATGTTCTGAAAGCTCCCTCGCAATGTTGGCAGCTGTTTCTAGTGACTTCAGCTAGTAAGACAAAAGGTCTAGATTAAAATATGTCTGCATCCACATGCAAATAGATTTCTAGGTTTGTTGAAAATATGTATATTGCTTATCATAATAATAATAATAAAGAGTGTTATGGTATTTTTTTGACTATTCAGCTTTTACTGCCAGTTCAGCCCCAAAAAGTTACATAACTACTAGTACTGCAAACTCTGAATTAAAGGGATACCAATTCCTAATTATTCATTTTATTTCACATTGTATTTTCTTTTCTTTCATTTGTATTTGCATAGTATTGCTATTATTATACACCCATTCTGGTTCCATGAGACCATCAAATCTGTCTATGAAATATTAAGCATGCTTCAGCCCCCATTAGCTACCTTCCCTCACTAGGCAAACCAATTAAAGTGGCACCATGGTACAAATTGCACCTGCATTGGTTAACATTGACCATAATAGAAGTGAGGGAAGGGAGAATCCTTTTGGTCACAGGTGCTTTTTGTTGCGAGTTTCGCACACCTACCATCTACGCAATAACACATTCATTCACATAGATTCTTCATTTATTTGTATAATTCCTATCTTTCCTTATAGTCTGATTAATGTAATAAAAATACATACATTCAACATTTATTTAATGTACTGGGTGCAGTAAACCGATTATTTACATGTCTGGAGGCTACAAGTCCTACAATGACTCGCATAGTTTTTTTCCCCAGTAGTGCATGAATGGGAGTACTTATGACAAGTTCAATACTGCTACACTTTTAAATTTAGAATGACCATTTCAAGTTTTTGAAAACAATACAGCTTAGACAAACATGCCTTACTAGGTGCCTGTTCGTCATTTACAACAAATAATTCTTTAGGATTATTTCAAGACGTACTTCGGGTGTACTGGCATGCACCCAGTGTGCTCAGCAAATGTTATAACTACTCACCCCTGTGGATTGACACCCTGCTTTTTACACCAAATGAAAGTCACCCACACCAGCTGTCCAGGACCAGATTTACTCTCCCTGCTGCCCCAAGGCCAGGTTCCACAATGCGCCCTCCCCCCATCCCCAAATAGCGGGGTGGCAGGGTTGGTTTGAATTTTTTTAATGTTTCTTTCTTTTTAAAAAAAACTTTTTATCACTATTTAGTTTTTTACTTAAAATTTTTATTTATCTTGTCATCTTAACATTTTTTTAATATAATGTTATTGTTTCTTTGTAATTATTTTCTTGTTTTTTTACTTAATTTTATTTAAGTAATTTTTTAATCATTTTTTCACTTATCTTTATTGCTATCACACAGGAGCTAACAAGCCCCTGTGTGATAGCATTTGGAGGTGACAGGTTCTCTTTATTGACCCTGTCACCTCCAATACAGGAGTCCTAGCACAGCACTGGAACTCCTGTGACAGCGGAGAGGGGGGAAGACTGCTCTCCCCTCTCACTGTTTACACGGAGCGGCAGGGTTACTTATCATGGAGCGACTTCAAATCTGTGCAGCCCCTCTGCTCTGTGGCCTTGTCGTTAATCCGGCCCTGCAGCTGTCTGTACCAGGCATTTGTCTGTACCCATCATTGTGTAAAACTCCTCTGTTTCTTGGTATTAAGTGCATTGGAGACCCTATATGTCCTCCCAGAGTTCTGCTAATATCATTGCTAGGCTCTGTACATATGAGCAACATGGAGGTGAACAAAGTCATAGATAGATACAAACTTTAATTTTTTTGATAAACAGTACAGAAGGGTAATATACTGTACATATTCCTGTACAAAACAATTAGGCAAAAACATGTGATGATAGTGTAACAGGAACCATTCTTAACCACAGTCTTCTAGGGCAAATACAGCATCAGACAGTCCATTTAACTTTTCAAAAAATTAATTTTCTACGGCACACAGTAAACAAGTATTTCTGCAGGTCATGAAATACCGTCCTTTCTTCATAATAATGTCATTCTCAGCAACAAACAGATCCATGCAGGCTTCAATCCTCCAGATCACCTAGCTGGGTAACAGTCTCTCACACATAATGTCAGGCGACCTTTTAAACACTCAGCCACAATCATGGGCTACACCTGTGAGTACTAAGCTGCAGTGACAAAACCTGGACTGAGCTGATGGTATAATGGGATAATTATCTCCATTATCCCAACCCCAGGGACCCAGAACACAATTTATAAATCTCACAACTAAATCATTAGTGCTTTCCCTGGGTTTTTTTTTTTAACTGAACAGAGGGATGCAATTTAAAAGGCTAGGTCTTACATACCTCCCATTTATAACCATTCCTTGCTTTCTGTCACAATAGCCACAAATAGGCAAGGATCTTGTGTATGAGAGTGCACAGACCTATCACCAACCTAGTGTTTTGAGGGAAAAAGCAATCAGATGTATTAGAAAAGAATGTACAGGCACTATTGTTTTACCTGAGTTGCTGTCAGTAGTGTCTGAATACTCCTCTTTGCTGTTCTCTACAGGCATAAATATAAACAGGGCCGGATTTACTCTCTCTGCTGCCCCAAGGCCAGGTTCCTCAATACGCCCCCCCCCCCCCCATTCCCAGGCTCCGCCTCCTTCTATCGACGGGCCCCGCCTCCGCTTACATCACTGGCCCCACCTGCTCTTAGATCGCTGGCCAGTGATGTGAGAGGAGGCGGGGTTGCTGTTAGGCGGGCCCCGCCTCCTTCTTTACTGCAAATGCCGGTGATCGATCGAAAGTTCGAACTTATCGAGTTCTGGGATCGGAATTCATGCGGTCCCACAACTCGATAAGTTTGGACTATCGATAGAACACCGGTGTAACCGGCCTATTCTGCCGCATCTGCTGGCTGTCACTGACACAGCTCCGCAGCGAATGTGAGTGGGAACGTTTTCCTTCACAGCAGCTGCTGAGCTATGTCAGTGACAGCCAGCACCTGAGACGCCATAGCGACCCAGGCGGCACACACGGCATCAGAGGGATGCCTGGCCGGGCCCCCTTGTGCACGGCCGCCTGGGTCGCTATGGCGATTGTTACGCCACTGCCTCTAATACAGGAGTATGAGCACAGCACTGAGCTGGAACTCCTGTGACAGCTGAGATAGGAAGGCTGCAAATGCACCTCTCCCGTCTCAGTGTTTACATGGAGCAAAGCAGAGAACAGACATTCTCCACTCCGCTCCTCACTCTCCATCCTGAGCTACCTTGCCGTGGTCCCGGGTCCCCCAAAAGAGCAGGCGACACTGAAAACCACGGAGGGGAGGGAGAACATTTAGCCCCGCTGTACATTTTAGCCCTGCTTGCCCGAAGCAGGGCTAAATGTAGAAAAAATGCTTACCCGCCGAGCGCCCAGAATCCAACACCCCTGCCGTCCCTCCACTCCCTGCCGCCCCAAGGCCGGGCCTTGGTGGCCTTGTGGGAAATCCGTCCCTGAATATGAACCATACAAAACTGATGTTTGAGAGAGTTTGCATCATGCCTGCACATCTTAATACCCTCCAGGTACCATACAACCAGTATTTGTTCTGTATATGGTGCAAAACAAATTATGGTTAAAGTTTCTGACTTTTCTGATTCTTTTTTTATTTTTTTTCAGATCTGATTAAGAATTTGAGGGTCGTCTAAGAATTGTCAGCGCCCAATCAGCTTCCCTTTATCAGTTCCTAAGCTGCAATGACAGTATGAAGGGAATATGTAATGGATGCTGGAGGTCATCCCAACCAGGAATCTTATAGATATTTCAGCTGGGGAGGTGGGATACCTCCGCAGGCGAGGGATACCTGTTGACCCGAATGCTGAGACACAGTTGGTTTCCTGGGGACTGAGAGACATACAAAGAGTGCAAGAGTTTCTCGGGCCAAATCCGGATTCCCCCGGCCGGCGATTTCTCGGCTAACTAGTCCTTAATTATACCTTATAACAGTTTACAAACTACCGATGTTAGACTGACCGGCCTATAGTTCCCTGGTTGGCATCTTGCCCCCTTTTTGAATATTGGAACTACCGTGGCCCTCTGCCAATCACATGGTACCCTACCAGTCACTAAGGATTCCTTAAAAAATAGGAATAATGGTCTTGTTATAACCTGGCTTAATTCCTTAAGTACCTTGGGGTGAAGGTTATCTGGTTCAATTGCTTTATTTGCATTGAGCATTTTAAGTCTATGTTCTATTCCGCTTTCCGTCAACCATTATGGCATATTATCGGTTGAACTATGTGTTTTATCAAGCGCCTCGGCCCTCTCCTTGTCACCTATGAGTAACTTCCCGTTTTCGTCCTTTATTGGGCCTATCTGCTACTTTCTTACCTTTTTACTGTTAATATATTGGTAGAATTTTTTAGGGTTTTTTTTACTATCTGCGGTGATATGCTTTTCGCATTCTATTTTAGCTTCCCGGATTACTAGTTTGCATTTTTTGTTACATTCCTTATAAGAAGAATTTATCTCCATTTGATTTAAGTAATTTTATTTTTAAGCCCACCCCCCCATTTCCTAGTCTTTCTACCATTTTCCCTCCCAGAAATGTTGTACCTCCCCCATTAAGGTGCAGCCCGTCTCTGCTGTAGAGCCGGTAGCCGACTGCGAAGTCAGCCCAGTTCTCCAGGAAACCAAATCCCTCCTTCTGACACCAGCTCCGGAGCCACTAGTTAAGCTCCCTCAACTCGCGCTGTCTGTCCGGAGTGGCTCTTGGCACCGGTAGTATCTCCGTCCTGCTCCAGCAGAGTCACTCCTGAACTAGTATCCCCAACATCATGCAACTTGGCAAACTTATTGGGGTTAACCAGATCAGGGCTGACACCTCTAGCACTCTTCCCTCTCCCACGCCTTCTAACAGTAACCCAGCTCCCTACCTCGGGATCCTGCTCCTCCAACACCCCCCTCCACCACAGCCTGGTGCATTATGTCGAGACTTTTTTCCATGACTGTTATGCTCCTAAGTGTTGCCGGTTTCTTGCTTAGATCCAGAATCTGGGTTTCCAAACAAGCAACTTGCTCACATCTCGTGCAAATGTATTCTCCCTCGAACGCATGTTCAAGGAAAGCATACATTGCGCACGACATGCACCTGGTTGCATATTCACTCATGGAAGACATTATTTTATTTCACCCTTCTTATTTATTTATTTACTTTTGTATAATTTGTATGTAAATCAAGACTACTTATTTGTAATTTATTTATCTAAGATTTTAATTATATATTGTATATACATACATACGTGATGTTTATAAATCAATTAGCCTTGTTTTAAGTGTTCCCATGTGTCATGATTGGTGAGAGACAATCAGTTTAATACAAGGACTTTAGATATATCTCAGTGATGTGAACAAACCTCAATGAAAATTCCTATTTGTGCAATGTCATTATCCACATTTATCAAACCTAACTTCAAACTGTGTGATTATAGTCATTCCATTAAACCACTACAAAGTGTTTCACATCTAGCGCTCTTTTTTTACAAGTGCCCATATATGCAGTCTTGTTGAACAACAAAGCTACCTTTTCAGTCTCAAAGTGTTGGATCCTGTTTGTATCCTGTTTGTATCGTTTGTCTCTAGTCTCTCTCGATGTGTATCCTTTGGCTCTCCCTTCATGTCTGACTCCCCTGTCCTTATATGCACATCCACCCCCCGGCTATTCCACGCCCATCGATGTGTGACGTTGCCGGGGGGCATGGCATCTAGGTGCGGCCGCAGCGAGCCAGATCCCTGTGTGACTTCCTGTGTTGGTCCATTGCTGAGCAAAATTAAAAGGTCAGGTGGAGCTCCGTGCCCCCAAGTATCGCCCCATGGAAACGGAGTACACACTGTCAGTACTGACAGATCAAGACCATGATGAGGGAGTCGGTGCGCCCGGACGCATCCACATGCCTATATGGCTCCACTACATGTATGGACCCCCGCAGGACCCCCAGTCCAGTCTTTCTTTATATTTAATCATTATTTTCATTTATCAGTTTTTATATTTATTAGGGGGGAAAAAG